ACTCCCTGACTGTTCTAGTTGGATGAAATGTCTACTTTCTGAGCTCCATCTTTTCTATCACTTACGTACTTCTTTACATTCAATGATGCCTATGTTCCAGACAAGTATTAGACACCATGATGGATACTTTGTGTACCAGACATAATTTCTGACCTCTGGTTTAGTATTGTTAATAAAATTTTAACAAATTTTAAGTTAACGATAAGTTCACAAAATTTTAAGTACGTTATGTTGTGCTTCCCTAAATTGATTATAAGTTTTAGTGTAACAGACACAGAGATTTTTGTATTCATTCTTTCAAAACTGTAATGAGTGTCTACACTTGACAGCCTCTGTTGATAGAATAAAGAAAAGCCACAGTCCTGGTTGAGAGAGATCCAGACAAACAGTTATAAAATATGGTAACTGTTCCCAGCAAGCTGCAGTGAGATGAATTCTTATATTTCCTGGAAGTGTTAAAGACTTAAAGATAATTTTCTCAGCTGAGGCTTAAAGGATAGAAGTGGTTTTGAGGCATGAAAGTGAAGTGTGCATGGCTCAGGAAGATTGGGACAGCCTATGTGAAAGCACAAAGGTGGAGGATGCAGTGAAATGACACAATGACATGACCCAGTGACATGGCACTGTGACATGACACAGTGAAATGACCCAGAATGTACAAGTGTGCTGATATTGCCGAGTGTAGGGCAGAATGAAGGACAAGAGATTGTGCAAATGGGCAGGGGCTGGATACACGTGTGTGCATGTTATGAAAAGGATCTTAGGTGGTATGTTATGAGGAAGCATGTTGATTAGGCAGCATATGTTCAGACTTCTATGTGGAGAATAGAGAGGGAGAGGGCAGTACTGGGCAGGGAGCCTGGAAAAGAGGTTATTGCTACTGCGACCACCTGTGATAGATAAACTGGGAGCAAGGAAGGGAAGAAAGAAGAAGGAGAAAAGATGAAAAAGTCATTGGAAGGTAAAATGGACAGACCTTGCTGTTTTATAAAACATGGGGTATAAACTGGAGAGAAGATGACAAGGACCTTGTCTGACTTATTCACAACTGTATCCCCAGCACTGGGAAGAATCCCTCATCTAGGCTCCCAGTAAATAGCTGTCAAAGTGAATAGAAGGGAGAAATCAAGATGACTCCTGGGTTCTGGAGGAAGCAGAATGTTTATACCAGTCGCCAGTGGAAAGAATATGGGAGGGGAAGATCAGGTATTCCTCTGTGGACCGATGTGGGACAGACTGGTGGTTTTTAGAAGAGTCGAGCTATAAGACACAAGTTATAAGGGAGCGAAGGAAGAATTGGTAATGAAGGAAATTCCAAATATGACTGCAGAAAGGCAGGACAAGTTTTAGGTTAGGTTAAAATCCTACGTCAAGAGAGACATTTTCAAGCAGAAATGTTTGACAGGGTAATTTGTCCAGAGTTCAATGTGCGTGAAGTCTGGCAAAATCAGAGTCTGGCTCTGGGGACTCGAGGAAGAACATCACCCGTGTTGGGGAGTGAAGACGTTCCCTTGCCTTTTCATGTCCCAAATTAGAGGTTGGCTTATAGTTCAAGTTATCATACGAACTCTGTGACTTTGTGCATCTCTTAACTTGAGAAAGGCAAAGGCAGCATGTGAAATGTGGTTTTAGTAACAACCAAAGCACAGGTCAGAGATTTATGTTACTATACAATAATACCTATATGTGGAGATACCACTGTTAGAAGCACTAACTTGGGTCCTAGTTTCTTATATAGAAGAGAAAATTGCAAATTGTGTGGTTAATGTTGATCATAATATTTTAAAGGAATATGTGTTTATTTAACCAATAACTTTATGCTACATAAATTGAAAAATCCTCCCTGCCTATGATATTACGAGCAATAACTGCATATCTTAGTCTGTCCCCACATATGGTCTAATTTAGCTGGTCCTTAGGGGTTTTGTATGATTGCTCTAAAATATTAGTTGCATGAAAAGCACCTAACGTTCTTGATAAAAGTCTATTTTTTTTAATTCAAGAGGGCCTGTGAATTAATATTTTAAGAAGCACCATCGTGTGATTCTGATACAGGTGTGAAGAGGTTCTACCTGGAGAAATCCCCCCTTGAGAAGCTCTTTGGCCCGACTTGCATTTGTTAGCTGGTGTTCTTGCTCTCTCTGGTGGTACAATGTGGAATTGTATGTTTCAGATTTTTCATTTTCACTGATTGGCACATAGAGCTCCACAATTAATCTACCAGTTACCCAGCCTTTATCTAGCCATGCTGTAAACCTACAGATGCGAGTGCTGCATTAGCATTCATCTCCCTACACACAAAAGAGATGTGAGAAGACCAGAAAGTGTAACATGTAAAATTTCATACCTTAGAAGTGCTGCGACCAAGACAATGCTTTTACATGTTTTGGTTTGGAGAATTTTGAAGGAATCTGTAGCTGAAGAGTATTGAAGAGGCATTTGGTGGCAGCATTTTCATGGGCCAAGTGTTTATCTTTTGCTTGGGTTCTTCCTCTGTGAATCGTTTAGGACTCAGACTCAAGCTTTGTGATGCTCATTTGAATTTTTCATTTGCCAGTTTGTTTGTTTTTTGCTAATGGGAAGGATATAATTGTATGCAGAGTAAAGAGTTAAGGGTAGGAATTCCTTCTTCTTTTCCTTCTTTCCTCCCTGCCTTCTGGCAGTCATTCAACAGATGTTTATTACAGCCCCCTGAGGGAGGCTTTGTGGGTGATACAGTGATAACCGGGACACCATTTCTCTGAATGAGGAGAGAAATGTAGCCCACCAAGGCCTGTCATGAGGGCTCCATGCCCAAAGTGCAGGGCAGCTCAGCAACCCTCAGAGGAAGGAGAGGGTAACCATGGGGAAATCATTACGGAGAAGACGGCGTCTGAACTTCAAGTCCCTGAGACTGGCCACTCTAAGAACCTTTGTGTAACTGAGTTGCTGACTTATATGACATACAATTGTCTGTGCTTATTGTGGGTATTTTATTCAGTGCTGATTATGTGTCAGGCAGTGTGCTAAGTGTGGGTGTATAAAGTTCAGGAAGGATTGTAATCAAGCAGGACCCTGTGGGGCCATCCCAGGGCAGAGCCCCGCCACCCCACCATGTCCTCTGCCAGCCTTTTGTCCGTAGAAAAACTTTACTTAAAGAATAAATTTAATCAGAGAAATGAGAAATGTGGAAAGAAAGGAAAACTGTTAAGCAAGACAAAGTAATAATAGTTTAGCCATTAAACAAAGTCAAGGACTTTTAGTTCCTCCTCCAGGGCTGTAGATACTATTCTGAGCCATGTCCTTTGAGCTGTTTTGCAGATACTGAAACCCTCACCAGGTGGAAGAAGTTAACTGCATGCTGCCCACAAGCACGAAGACCCCAGGTGGAATCAGAAGGTGGATGATGTTGACTCCCAGTTACCTCACCACAAACCAATCAGAAGAAGGTCCACAAGCTGATCACACACCCCACACCCCCACTCCCTTATCCTGTCTTTTAAAACCTTTCCCTCGAAGCCTTCAGGGAGTTTGTGACTTTTAAGCATGAGCTGCCCTGGACTCCTTGCTTGGCGCCTGCAATAAACGCTGCACTTTCCTTCACCACACCCAGTGTCGGTAGATTGGCTTTACTGTGCTCAGGTGAGCAGACCTGAGTTTGGTTCGGTAACAGGATGGCTTGGTCTCTGTCTACCTAGAGATTCCATTCTCGTATTAGAGGCAGACAGGAAACAAAATAGTTAAATGATAATAGATAACTATCTACAAAATAGATAAATGAATTGTAAATTGAGGTAAGCGCTTTGAAGGAAGTAACCAAGAGGCTAAGGTAGAGAATAACTTGGTTGGGGTGAGGTGAGACCTGCTTTTGTGGAGGTGGCTGGAGAAGGCCTCCTGCAACAACACAAGCAATGATGTTACGAGTCCAGTGCTCTCTGCTACTGAGTCCATGTCTTAACCATGTTCATCCTCCCAGCTCTGATGGGGAATCACCATCATTACACTCATTTGAAGAGAGAGGAGACTGAGGCACAGGGACACTAAGTAATTTGATGTGTAGTTTGTAAGTGGTGGAGACCAGATCCAAACCTACCTTTCAGGCCCAGAGCCTGCTCTCTTCACCACTCTGACAGGCATCTCCCGCCAAGGGTGTGGAGGGGAGAGCACATATGGGGCTCAGAGGCAGGAGAGTTCTCACGGGATAAAGCAGCCCTCGTGCTCCCAGAGGTGGGGCGAGGCTGCACACCACCCTTCCCTTGGGGTGTGGGCTTCTTTCAGATACGTGTTAATACAGAAACAGGCATTGGGTGAGTTGAAAAGGACAGAATTTGTTAGCTGCCCTAGCACTGTAGAATTACTGATGAGAAAGGTCATTTTCTGGTGTAACATTTTGATTTCACAGTGGAGGACCCCCAGCTCAGAGAAGATAGGTGATTAATTGCTTAACTAGTTAGTTGCTGACTTGGGAGTAAAACATACGTGCTTTTCCTTGATCCCACGTGTGCATAACTGGTTTCTACTTAACACACAAATTTATCTTATAAATTGCTTTCCCACCAATTGAAGGGCACTGGAGTACATGATTACAGACTAGTACTTTCTTAAATTCTTGCTCCTTTAATTTGGGATGGTTTTCTTTGAGGGCAACCATTCCCATTTCACGACACATGGTAAAATGTGTTCCTTTTGAGAATTTCCCTTCTCTCCTCTGTGGAAATGCAAAGAAACAGAGGACAGGACCAGTCGATAAGCTCACTTCTCGTGTGACTCGCCCCCTTCTCTTTCTTCACATTTGCTGGCAGGAGTTACAATGTGCTGATTATAAGAGGTGGCCTGATGTGAACAGGGCTTGGGGGTCAAGGGCTGATGCACACCTTGGACAAGGCACACGCTTGAGCAGCAGACAGGAGGTGGCTGATCCAGGCAAGCACCTGCCTCACCCACAGCCATAGTCCCTGAGTAATCTCTCAAGTATTGTTCAAAAAACCTAAGCAAGCCCTAGAGGGTTCAGGTAATCTTACCATGGCCCTTCTGTCCGGTGAAAAATAACAAGTTGTCTTGCACTGCTGAGTGGTTGTTTGCCAGCTGAAACTTCAAGTGGAACTCGTAATCATAGCTGATGTCTGGGACCCGTGAATAAGCCAGGAACGAGGTATATCCAAAGGCATCCATCCCACTGAGCCTGGGCTGGGTGATGTGAACATCTGTGGAAAAGCCCAAAGCAAACAGTTAAAACAAGCCTGTTCATGGACTTGTAAGAGGAGGGTTGTGTTTTGCTGCTGCATCTCGCCACATAGTCTGTTTACTATCACATTAATTATACATATGTGCCCTTCAGCATTGAGCAATTCAGAGACTCAATAGGGAATTCAAATCCAGAACAAAGGAAGGGTAGTGTTTTGAGATCCTGTGTATAATCCTTTAACTCACATACCCTTTTGACATGAAGAATTTACTTAAAAAGCAAAATTCTACATTTTGGAGATTAATTTTAGAAATAGAAAAGATCATACGCAGTCAAAGTATTTGCCTAGGTGCTTTGTAACAATAATTTGGCATCCAAATTGGAACAAACTGAGCTTCTCTAACTCTTTACTTTTCTAAGAGCCAAAGGTCAGGGGTAGGAAGGCCAAGAGATGGGAAGGAAATGGATGTTTCCATCACCATATTGTGAATGACCTGAAATTTCCTTGAAGTGAAATCGTTGTCTAAAAGAAATGCTCTTCCTTACTTTGTTCAGACATGTGTTAGATAGTGAAAGCGTGGGTTTCAATAGGCCTGAAACTGTAGGGAGATTTAGTAGAAACAGGAAATAGTAAAACCCAGAAGTACAAGGGCCAGTGCGGACAAATAAGATTTAGTTGAGGGGTGCTATCAGCCAGCTAGCTTCTCTTTTCATCCTGCCTCTAATCTTGTATCCACATTTTCTCTTTCATTGTTCTATTTCCTTCATAAATAGTCCCAACTGGCTTTTATTTCCTCACTTCAAGGGGAACAGGGAACAGGAAGGGGGATTTTGACCCCAATCCTGACTACTGTGAATGGTATCCCCAGATTAAAGGATGTTCCTAGAATCTATCTTTATTCGTTCAAGACAGCGCAATAGAGGGAAGAAAGCTTGTCTCGATTACTTTATAATGCTCCCTTCTCAAGAGGTGGTGGCTCTCTCATGAAGTTGTAAAACTAGAATTTTTACAAACTTTAAGAAATATCCTCACTCTGGTACTTAACACTTAAAACAAAAGAGTTGTTATGTCTGGTTATAATTGTTTATATAGCAAATAATTCTGCTATCCTGGGAAAAAGAATTCTATTTATCAGAGGCTTTTATTTCTGCTTGTTTCACATAACTATTCAAGTAGGGATTTGTATGGAATCAGCTGAATACTTCATTTTGATATTTTATTAAAATCTTATCAGTTTATTCCTTGAGATGTGTGTCCTAGGATAAGTAAACATTTTCTCAAAACTCACCAGAATCTGAATTAGGATTTTGAGACATACCACCTTTTATATATATATATATAATCTAATGAAGTAATTGGTGGTTTGTGTTTCAGAGATAATAAGACTTCCCATCAGGGATTTCAGTGGTTCTGTAAGTAGGATGGTTGAAGGAAATTAAATAAAATTAACTGGGATTGAAGCAAAATAAAAATATTGATGGTGTTTGAATGTTGGCATTAAAAACAGTTAAAATAGAATTCAATTAAATACTAAAAATAGGAATGTCTTTCTTTTATAACATTTCTTCCTGTTAATAATTTACAACTGAGTCTGCTAAAAGTTTTTGTACATTTAGGTTAGATCAACAAATACGTATATAGTTCACTATCTGACCTTGAGCTAGATATTGGTGACACAAGGATAATAAGGCACAATCCTTACCCTCAAGGAGCTAGTGTGTGGTCAGTTAAATTACTCAACTGAACTAGACTGAATCTTGGCTGATGACAGCAGTTCACCTACAGGTGACAAAGATCATTTCAGGTGGAAAGAACAACTTATTCTACAATAGGGAGGCCAAAAAGCATGTCATACTCAGGGAACCCATGGAGTTTGCAAGTTTTAGAATGAAGTATAAAAAGGAAAGTGGAAGCAAATGAAATGACATAGTTAAGACAGGGGTCAAATTATGAAGGGTTTGATATTTTCCTCATACTTTTTGAGTAGTTAAGCAAATATCAAAGTTGCCTTTTAGAAATATCACTGTAGTGATGAAATGTGAAGGCTGGATTAGACAGGGGGAACTGGAGGAGAAACCTTTGGTCAAGAATGATAAGGAGGACTTTGAGGACATTGGGAAGTCTAACAATGAGTTCAGCTTGTACCGGGGGGGCAGTGGTGGCCCTTGTCCACGTGCTCAGTAGTTTGTCTCCCAGCAAGAGCACCCAGCTCCGCTCACTCCACATGGCAGCTTAGCACTGGATCTGGGGCAGACTGGTTCTGGGAGAAGTCAGCCACAAGGCAGCGCAGATCTCAGGTGGCAGCACAGCCACTTCAATTCCTGCAGCAATAACACCCTGACCTCCAGGCCACAGCATTGTACTAGATCTGGGATGAACACAACAGGGCTTTCCCTGTTTCTGAGTGGAACTGCAGACACCTGTATGGGAGGCACATAGGTTCACTGTGACTGCATGGACCTCACTTGCTTTAGCAATCACACACTTAAGGGCAATGAAGCCTTATTGAACCTGACCCTCAGGGCTTCCACCCCAAGAGCTGGGGAAAAGACCCTGACACTGACAGAATGGTAACAGCCACAGAGCAGAGAAGAAGCCCTGCCTCACATCCTACACAGGGTTTAAATCCCCCAATACAAACCACGCCCCCTATCAAGGAGATAACAGCCAGCACACACTGAGGAAAGATATAGTTGGTTTCCATACCAAAACCAGCCCTACCACCAAAACTATTAGAAACACACAGTCTGTACAATGATGCTCCCACATAAAAACACCCCTTCAAGACCACAATAGATAACTGTTTCTCCCAAATTCATAGAGACAGAAAAAGTTAAATAAAATAAAAAGGCAGAGGAACTACTCCCAATTAAAAGAGGAAGAGACACCCCCACCCCCAAAGAACATATAATGAAACAGACTTTACTGGTTCAACAGACCCAGATTTCAAAGAGGTGGGAATAAAAATGCTAACTAAGTTAAGAAAGATTATTGATATAAACACAGATAACTGTAACAAGGAAATAAAAGTTATACAGATGAATCAATCAAAAATAGATAATTCAGTTTCAGAGATAAAAAGCAATCTTCACAGGGAACTATATTCAACATCTTGTAATAACTTATAATGGAAAGAATATAAAAAAGAATATATTGATATATCTATATGTCTATCTCTCTCTATATAACCGAATTACTTTGCTGTACATATGCAACTAACTCAACATTGTAAATCAACTATACTTCAAAAAAAGAAAAAGAAAAAATAAAAGAAAGCAGTCTAGAAGTAATAGATAGCCAATTAAATGAGACAGAAGAACGAATAAGTGACCTGGAAGATAAAATAATGGAAACCATCCAATCAGAAGAACAGACAGAAAAAACAATAAGAAATGAAACCAACATAAGGTCTATGGGAAAATATAAAGCAAACCATTTTATGCATGGTATGAGTTCCAGAAGGAGAAGAGAGAGAGAAGATCAAAAATGTAGTTGAAGAAATTAAGGCTGAAAACTTCCCAAACCTAAAGAAGGAAACAGATATCCAGATACAGAAAGAGCCAAGCGTCCTAAAAAAGATGAACCCAAACAGACCTACACCAAGGCATCATAATTAAAATGGCAAACGTTAAAGATAAAGAGAGGATTCTTATGGCAGCAAGAGAAAAACAAAGGGTCAGATACAAGGGAATCCACATAAGTTTTCAACTGATTTCTCTGCAGAAACTTTGCAGGCCAGAAGGGAGTGTCATGATATATTTCAAGTCCTGAAAGGGAAAATCTGCAACCTAGGATACTCTACCCAGAAAGATTATCATTTAGAATAAAAAGAGAGATAAAGAATTTCTCAGACAAGCAAAAACTAAAAGAATTCAGCAATACTAAACCTACCTTAAAAGAAATAATGAAGAATCTTCTTTAAGTAGAAAAAAAGCAAGAATCTATAGGAAAGGAAAAAAAATCACAGAGAAAAGGCAAATATATAATCAGTACTGAAGATCAATTAAATAAGCTAGTACATACACTAAAAACAATAAAAGAATTATAAAAGCAAGTATAATGATAATAAGCAGTAAAAGAGGATGTAAGAGGATATGAAGATGTAAAATAGGACATCAAAATCACAAAGTGTGGGGGAGGGGAGTAGAAAAGGTAGATCTTTTAGAATATATTTGAACTTGAATGATTGTCAGTTTAAAGCAAGTAGACATATTATGGGTCAACATACATGAACTCCATGGTAACCACAAATCAAAAACATACAATAGATTCACAAAAGCCAAAAAGAAAGGGACTCAAGCATACTACAAAAGAAAACCATCAAATTACAAAAGGAAAAGCAAAAAGAAAAATGAACAAAGAGCTACAAAAACAACGGGAAACCAAAAATTAAAACAGCAATAAGTACATACCTATCAATAATTACTTTAACTGTCAATGGATTAAATGCTCTGATCAAAAGACATAGGGTGGCTTATAGGATAAAAAAAAAAAAGAGAACCTGCAATATGCTGCATTCAAGAGACTCGCTTCAGGGCAAAGGACACATACAGACTGAAAGTGAAGGGATAGAAAAAGGTATTGCATGCAAATGGAAGCAACAGGAAAGTGGGGGTAGCAATATTCATATCTATTAACATAAACTTTAAAACAGGGCATAAAGAAAGACAAAGAAGGACATTATATAATGATAAAAAGATCAATACAGAAAGGGGATATTACACACATTAACATATACACACCCAATGTTGGAGCACCTAAATATATAAAGCAAATACTAAAAGATGTAGAGGGAGAAACTGACAATAATACAATAATAGTAGGAGATTTTAACACCCCATTGACATCAATGGACAAATCATCCAGACGGAAAATCAATAAGGCAACAGAGGTTCTATATGACCCAATAGATCAATTAGACTTAATTGATATCTACAGGACACTACATCCAAAAGAAGTAGAATACACATTATTTTCAAGTGTGCATGGAACGTTCTCTAGGATAGACCACATACTAA